TAATGCTGTGTGTGTGTGTGTGTGTGTGTGTGTGTGCCCCTGTGTGTGTGTGTGTGTGTGTGTGTGTGTGTGTGTGTGTGTGTGTGATTATGTTTGTGTCAGTGTATGTGTCTGACTCCTGATTGCATGACTCCAGTTTCCAACAGCGGCCGCAAATAACCGAACCCTGGTCACTTTCTCTCTGCCATCTCTCTCGCTCTCTCTCTCTCTTTCTCTGGGACTTGCTGTGTGTCTGTGTTTGTTCACAACTCTTGAACGGAAGGGTTTGATTGAAGCCTGCAGGCTGGAGACCCCACAGGGGTGGGTTGGGGCCAGTGAAAGTGATTTATTCCAGGTTTGCATAGTCTTTCTAACTGGCCAGCTCTGGTTAAGAGAGATGAGGGAAGACAGACACACATTCTCTCTCTCAAACAAATACACAAACACATACACACAAATCCTGGAGGCTCACATCTGAGCCTGGTCACATGGTCTCTCAAGGGAAAAAATGCAAAAAGTGAAACAAATCACAGGCTTGGTGAATTCTCCCTCGTTCTCACACACACTCACATTACTCTTAGCTCACCATTTCAACAAGTAATCTGACACTCAGCTAATGACTTCAATGGTTTGTTCTATTCGTCTAAACTACCTTCTACTGCTCTTTCCATCATTTCAGCTATTAGATTATTACTTTCACCTTACTTCCAGTGACTTCTGCAGACAGACAGGGCAGTGAATCTGCTAAAGTTTAGCATCACACCACTTTGTAATCTCTGGATGTAGTTTCTCCAGGTTTCCCCTGCTGCCTGCTGAAGCACCTTCCGTGTTTGAGAAATCACTGACACTGTGTGTGTTTATACAGTTTGTGTTATGAATGCCAATCTTTTGTTTGTTTCTTGATCTCTTCACTCTTGTTTTCCAGGTTCCAGGTGATTTAAGCCAGACGTCAGATGACCCCAGTTTGTCAGATTTTGAAACGTAAGAATATTTCTCTCTACCCCCACTGCCTTTCTCTAACTCCTTCCCCAACCTTCCATCTTTTTATAACTGGTGCAGTGCCCATTCTAAATCTACCATGTTGGGAATGGGCTGTTTTCTTTGCCTGTGGTGATGCTGGTTACAGTTTTCTTTCTTTGCTTGCCGCAGCAAGTAAAACCTATTTGTTCAAAGTTTAATAGTGAATGTATCGTGCGTCCAAATGTTCCCTAACAAAGCACAAGCCAAGTGTGAAGCTGTTAAGATGAAGCTCTCTAGATATGTGTTCTACTTAGAAACAGACGGACTGAGTTTTCTGGAATCAGTAGACAGATTCATTTTCACCCAGGAGTTTTGAATCTCACAAGAGTTGCATATCCATGTAAAAATATTTGTTCTGTTATTCTTTCTCAAATTTACTGCTGGACAAAGCTCATCCGACACAGTTTGATTCAGTACATTCATCTTCTCGGTTCATGACCAAATTCGATTTTGAGGTGTTTTACCGGAGTGAGCTATAATTTGCTGTAGCTGTCCAAGCACAGTGCTGAAACGCTGTTGATGTTGCCGCTGCCAGTGATAATGATTATGATAATGGTAATGATGGTGATGATAATGACGCCGGCAGTGAGGATGGTTTGTTGTTTGTGTCACTCAGGGCTCATCGCGCTCTCATCAACGTGTGGATCCCCTCTGTGTTCCTGCAGGGCAGAGCCGCCAACGCTTACCACGTCTATCAGGTACGCTCGGCTGCATCAGCATCTCACTGAGCAGCGTCCTCTGTGTACCAGACCAAATTAGCCAGCACTGTCATTTAGTCAGGACATATCGATCTATTTGCATGTGACCATGCTTGACTCTGTGGTCATTTTTTAATCAAACAAACAATATATACACAATAAAGGGAATGACTTCATTAAACTGAGGAGTGAGGCGAAATGAGGGAACTCTGAAAAACATTTCATGTTGGAACAACTTTTCTTAATGCCTCATCATCATGAATGTTCATTAGCATTGTTGCAGTTCATGCTGCTCAACTGGTCAAGGATCCCTGAGTAAAATAGACGGGGAGGAAACCGTCTTTAGCCATCCTGCCTTTAGCCAGGCTCATCTGTCTGGTCCAGACACAGATATCACAACTTTTTTACAGATTGCCATGAAACTTTGAACAGACATTCATGACCCCCCCACACCTCGCACCATCATGGATTCAAGGTTATTTTTCTGATTAGTGCCCACCATGCCGTTTGTGAACTGCCATTTTGAAGCCTTGAGTTTGGCGTTTTGGTCAGAGCTATCTGGCTTTTGTTTTTTTAAACCAGATGTTACCATATTTCGAGGACACTGCTAGCTGTCAATCACATGGTATCTACGCCACAGTGTTTTTTTTAATCAGAAATGCATAAAAACTGCATTTGCTTGAACTTTTATTTTGATGTTATTAGTTGCAAGGCAACAAAGTTAAAACAAATTGCTTTATTTATTGTCTTTTTTTCTTTACTGGTTTTCTCTCTTAATATAATGCTGTGGTCTATTCAAGGTCAAGTTAAAATGAGGTCATTCACAGTTTTACACGCAATCATTTTATGAGACGATATTGAAGTAATCCAAAGTATTTGAAATATCTTGTTAAGTAATTCAATTACATTTTTAGCAATTGACAAGAAATGGCATGTGTTCTTAGTCGTTAAATACATTTTAAAAGAAACCCTCCAGACACTGCATGAATCAGTCCCAAAATAGTGACCCACTACAATCTGTTCCACTTATAAATTATTAATCAAGTCTAATCAGAGCTTATGGCATTATCCCAAAGATACCAGCACAACTCTTCCTGACTAAAATTATCATGGTTGGTGAGCTCTGTGCCAAGTTCTCATCTAAGTGCGGTGTGTTGGGAACTGGACTCGAGAGCATCTTAACAAACTGCTGCTACTTCTTGTATCTGTCAAGTTATCGAGCACAGGAAACAACGGCGGCTCATTCCCTCTGTGACTGTTTTACTGTGTCTGTCACATTAACAAGGTGTTACGCCTCAGCTCTCTCACCTCAGCCGTCCCCCTGGTTCCCCCCTATGAGACAAAAAAACACACACTCAGACAATCAGTCCCCTGGCTCTGCTTTTTTGAGACAAACTGTCACATGCAGACAAACTGTCACACACAAACACACAAACATGCACACGCATGCACATACGCACGCACACGCACACACACACACACAAACACAAACACAAACACACACACATTTGTAGACATAACTTTAAACCTCACCCTAAAACCAAGTCTCAAGTCCCTCAAACAGCCCTTTGAATTTATGAGGACCAGCCAAAATGTCCTCACAATGATGGCCCTCATAACTATAGATAGGTATGTGCACACACACACACACACACACACACACACACACACACACACACACACACACGCACACGCACACACACGCACATGGTGGTACTCATGGATAAACTCACTTTTGGTTTGTGGGACAGACATGAATACATTCACCACGTGGAATACACACCTACAGACACACACCTACAGACACACTTATACAAGAAAAAACACACACATACCTTGACACATACAAGCGCAGGCACAGCACAAACCTATCTTCTTGCTGTATAGAGCCGCTTGTATTCAGAAAATTGAGTGCAAACGCACACACACACACACACAAACACACACACACACATTCACACGCAAACACAAACACTCTGTGCTCTTATCTGCTCTGTGGAGTTACAGCTGTAACTTAAGTCAGGGGAAACCATATGGGACGAGAAGAGACAGGTGACACATCCCCGGCTCTAACTGATAGTCAGGAGTGACTGGCCACCGAGCTCAGCCCGGCTCAACTTATACATAATGGAGGTAAACTGGAAGCTCGAGCCGAGAGCTGTCTTACACCCTTTTCTGCCTCAGAGGTGTGTGTAGTCACTTGGGTCAGAGTTTCTGTCTTCAAGCACGGTCACAATGATAAAGAATATCCAGGTCTTTTTCAAAGTGCTTGGGAATTTGTGGTGCTGTTGGGGTCAAATATGGAAAACAGCTCACATGTAAGTGGCTGCACGGCATTGGGAAAGTGCCCTGTCCCCTGTAATTTGGCCGGTAGACTTACAGCTGAGTGCATCCTCATGGTGCTGTCATAAAGGGGAATTCATTACACACAGATTTTGCAATGTGTTTCCAACCACACCCGGTATTATCATTCAATTACAGTCACCAAGCTAAATAAATACAAACTTTAGGATCTTTGAAAATCTAGAGTCGTTTGACAGCATGTAACTTTCATCAAGGTGTTTCCAGAATCAAACACTCTTCCTCCTAACCTGAACAAAGATGGTGGTTAGAAGTCTTTCCTCTGGTGCAAGAAGAGACAGAACATTCTTATATCCAGATGGTTAAAAGAGTTTCTGAGGATTGTGGAAAGAACTTGACAAATGCAGTTTTTTTCAACAACCGTCCTGTCTCCTGATATATTTCCCTCTCTCCCTCATCTTGTCGTAAATAGTGTGGCAGCAGTTTACAATGCCTGGAGTGATACTGGTGTGGTTTTGGACCATGCTCCACTGGTGCTGGTTTTCCACACGCTGGTTTTGGCTCGGAGGGCGTGTTGCTTCTTCGTATTCATGTGCCATATGTTTTTAATGATGGTGGAACAGGTTGCTTGAGTTTCCACCTTCTGTTGTCATGTTAATGCCACAAAGCTTGCATAACAGAGCATTATATTTGTGTTCGGGTGTGGTTCTGTCACGCTGGCTAGGCTATTTATTACTTTTTTCACTGTACATGTCTGTAAACAGGGGAAACTAGCAATAACCATGTCAGTGACAGAGTAACACAAACTACATTAACTACATCAGGCCGTAGTCAGGTTTGGAAATAAATAAAACCTGCAAGGTCAGGCAAGGTTTGGTTGTCTCAAGTTTGGACGGCTTCTGACAGAAAAATATGACCTGAGCCGCACTCTATTACATAAAACTGCAGTTTGCACCTTGTGGGAGGATTTAAAACTGAGCAGGCGGATGTGCCCCTTTTTGAGGAATAAGAGTTTCCTCTCTTGTGTCCATGTTGGTGTCCTCATCTGGTTCTGACACTCCACTCATCTCTTTAAGCTTTACAGGCTATTCAACCTCACTACGCTTTAATTAATCAGTTTGGCTGCTATTATGTTTTACTTTTTAGTTTGCTACATGATATACTGCATAAGGACAAGTATTCAGAGCCCAACTGAGCATTTGAAAAATAAAATAAAATGCTTTATTTTCTAGAATAAGGCCATTGATTTATCACGGTGATGAAGGTATTTCACTCCGCTGATAACAATGACACTTGTTTATGCCCACCCCTTCTTCAAATATCTCTGAATATTTCATCCTCTAACTTGAAAGTTTGAATTCCTCTTCACAAAAACATATAAGAAATCCTCATCTTCCTGTCAGTGGATCTTTTTTACCTGAGGAAATACTACACCTAAATAAATAAATGTAAAACAGACTGTAGCAGTTATCTGCTGAGCTTTGGGCAATAACCAGCGTCCACCTGCCGTGTCAGATGATTGGATCGACTCCAGCGGCGGACCTGAACATTTTCCATGTGTTCCACTGATTTAGCTTAATTTCTCCCTCTCAATAACAGCCTCAGTGAGACTGTTGTCCAGCCCTGGAGCTGGTTTAAAGAGCAGCCCATCTGGTGTATTGGATTCTTCCTTTCCCAGAGCTACATTCGTCTAATGGCTCCCTATGGAAACAGCTTTTGTTCTGAGACAGGCGAATGGATGGCGAAGGTTACTGAAGTCATTGTTGTTAAGGTGAGGTTGTTGGGGTGATTGAATACGGAGCCAGCAGCCTTAAAGACCTCAGAGTATCGCAAAGAGAGGGCAGGGGTCCTTTTTAAAATACCCTCAAGCGGGTGCATAGACTTTTCTTCCCCTCAGACTCTCACTCTCGAGCTCACACATACTTGCAAAATAAAACGAATGATGAGAGCAATGAGGCGTAGCCGAAGCTAGAGAGGGTTCTGGGAGGCTCTGAGAGGGAATGGGATTGTAGAGGCTGGAGCCTAAGTTAGGTCACAGCATCAATGTGGTTGAAAATAAGCACGCTAACAGGTCTAAGCTGCTGCTACAACCAGTGAAGAGGAAAGGCTGATCTAACCACTACCACTCTGTGTGTGTTCCCCTCTTCTGCATCATCCCTCCTGCTCTCTGCACCTCTTTTTTTGGCATCCCTTCTTTGCCTCTCTCTCTATGCCAGATTGCACGGTGAGGGCGAGACTGCTTGTACTCCATTATCTCTTTTTGAAATTTCTTCTGAGCCACTTTTCACTCCAAGCTCTTTGAAATGACATCCATCCAAAAGCCTGTGGATGGATGACGAGCGACAGACAGAGATGGAGAGCGAGACGCTGATGGATTTGCTCCATTATCAGTCGGGTTTTGCTCTTTGTGGGACGCCGTGCCCCTGGGCCCTCATCCCTCCACACCTCCCAGCTTCCTTCCCCCCTCTGAACTCATAATGAGAGAATTATACCGGCTGTGGCAAATCAGTGTCTCCCTCCCACACAATGCCAACAATAGAGGCTATTATGAGAGGAGGGGAAGGAAGCATCATTTGCACGCCGCCAACGAACACAGGGAGTCATTTGGTGTGTGCAGCAGTGTCTTGTGTTTTCATTACCTGTGCACTTTAGGCTGGCATTGTGGTTTAAAAAGAACATCGTTCAGAAGCTGATAAGGA